AGTTTTCGACTTATTCATTGTGTCTTGTTGCAAGTTATAGATTGTGTCTTGCCACAAGTCGTCGATAAACAACAAGATACTGTTCAAGGTTGCAAGACTTTCATTGTTCAAGCTATAATGGAATCCAAGGCAAAGCAGCAGTTGGACATTTTGCGATCTGCTTTGCAGGAAAAGAATTTGATAGCTGAACGTCTGATGCTTCAACGTGAAAATGCTGAAAAGTTGTCAGTAGTGAAGCAAGAAGTTGATGAAGTGTTTCAGCAGCTAATCTCTTTAACTGACTTGATTCCTGAAAGTGCAGGTAAAGATGTTACTGACTTTCTTGTGACTAATGATTTGAAGCGTGAAAAATCGGAATTTGATTCACGCATCTCAGAATGGTTCGAAAAATTGAAAACGCATCCAATTGTGCAACCAGAAAATGTATCGTCAAAGTATGCGGGTAGTATTTGTTCTGACAATACATCGAGAGCCTCCTTCAAGAGAAGATTGCAGTGCAAAGTGAAACGCGATCTAGCAATTGTACAGCTTCGTCACACGGAAGAAAAGCTAGAGGAGGAAGCTTTGAAACGTAAAATGGAGCTTCGTGATGCACAGCGTAAAGTGGAATTGACTGAAGTGGAATTTTTATTGTGGGATACGGAATCAACTGGTGATTCAATAAAAGGTGATGGAGATTTCAAGAACTTGAGTCCTATTAATGTGTTGCCAGGTACAGGGCAAGTGATAAAAAGTCTTCAGTGCCATTGGCAAGCCGCAGAGAAGAGACTGCAAGTACTGAGCAAAAACCTTCATTACCCAAATTGGTGAACTCACTTCAGGTTGGTGATAAATTTCCTTCTACAACTGTGCATAAAAATGTAATGAAGCTGATGTTTCATCATTGAACAGGCGTCGATCTGCTTCGCTACAGAATGAAGCCACACATACGAGAATAATTACCAACCATGATGGCTATGCTGCCTCTGATTCGTGTCATGAAAGAGTACGTTTTGCAAGGTCGCATAATGTACACACATATTCTCAGACTTCATTGAGAAGAGATGGTAATGCTGTTCCTAATAGAACTGGAAATGGTCAAAGCTATAACTTTCAGCCTGTGAATCGTGCGATGGATCAGGATTGTCCATTTGCGGCTGAACCAGATGGAATGGCTGGCCGTGAACACCATCACGTTTTACGAATAAACGAAAGTAGTGTCAATGAGTTGCCAGATGTGCAGACTTGTGGATATAGGACACTTCAGGAAAATTGTGAGTCGGTTAAAGATTGTGTTTATGAATCTGGGCCACAACATTATTCACAGCGGAGAACAAGAGAATCATCTCCAGTTATACAGCATCACCATTATCATGGACGTGAAGAATTCTTCTTTCAGAAGCCTGAGTTACCTGTGTTCAATGGAGATCCTTTGAAGTATATGTCTTTCATAACAAATTTTGACATACACATGGCACCGAATCTAGAAACAAATAGCCAGAAGCTTGTGTGTTTGTTGCAATATTGTGAAGAGAGAATTCGTGCACAATTAAAATACTTCACAAAGAAGCCTGAGAGTGGATACAAGCTTGCTAGGCAGAGGTTGTTTAAAGAATATGGTCAGCCTCATATTATCGCTGGTGCATGTGAAAAAGTTCTAAAAGAGTTTCCAAGTGTGCGTGATGACAAGTCAGAGCAGCTATTGCAAATATCACAAGTAATGGAGCGATGCCTGGGAACTCTAGAAGACATTGATGAATTTGCAAATGTAAACACCCTGGACACTATGGGAATGCTGATGGCTAAACTTCCTGAAGATGTTCAGGATGGCTCGCCACATGAAGCCCTCAGGATTCAAAGAAAGACTGGTCGTCAGGCAAAATATTGTCACTTGGTCGATTATGTTTGTAATTGGGTGGATGTGAAAAATTCAATGTATGGGAAAAAGCTTAATGAGATTCGTCACAAAAAGATTCCTGTGAGTGTGAGGAGAAACAGAGCTGCAACCTATAGTATTAATGCTGAGGCCAAAAGGGAACACATTCATCAAAAACGGTGGTGAATATGCATGGCAAAAATGGTGGATATGCATAAATTCGAAGTGCTAAAAATAATGCACCAACATCACAACAAAAAACTCCCTCCTGCATTCACTAATTATTTTATGAAGCAGAGTGATGTTCACTCATATGGAACAAGGTCCTCGACCAGTTGCTCATATTTTTTGAATCGTTTTTCTACCAAACTAACCCAACGCTCAATCAAGTTCATTGGAGTAAAGTTATGGAATTTGCTTCCTGAAACAATTCGTACAAGTAACCATAATTCATTTAAATGTAAATTGAAAACTTTATACCTTGAAGCTTATAGGTGCTAGCAGTCTAACTTGTTCCGTTATAAGTAAGTTTCCTGTACCCATCCATGTTCCTCTACTGAACAGCTGTATCCAGTATTTTTTTTTATGACAGCTGAATGCTGTACCTCTTTTGCTGGCTGTTTCATGTTTTACTATGTCATTTTTTGCCAACTTCTCATGTGCAATTTATATAGTGCATACCGGTACTTCACTTAACTGTGCCGGTAACTCGTCGTCGTCTACTTTCCACATATAATAGCTATCAAATGGCAACCCAGTTGCTTGGGACGCTACTTCAGTCCTTTTTAGTGCTGGGTCGTATGACTCAGCATTATTTTATGTTTTGAATTCATCGATGCGCATCTTAAACACCAGATGTCGCTAATGAGCCTCTTCTGAATGAATCGTACTGTCGGTTCTTGTAGTGTGGTTATTTACAATTAAATTTATTTCGCATCTATTGTTGTCTTTCCATGATTTGTGTATTTTATTTCGGATCTATGGTTGTCTTTCCATGATTTTTGTATTTTTGAAGATAATTTTTCCTTTTTTGTTTTGTTTTGTTGTCGAATCTACTGTTGTCTTTCCATGATTTGTGTATTTTATTTCGAATCTATTGTTGTATTTCAATGATTTGTGTATTTATGAAGATAAATTTTCGTTTTTTTGTTGTTCTATATGCTTCATTGCTATATTTGCTGCTTTAATATAGCACCAAGGTGTCGCTGACTAGATGACTCATTGAGTCTATTCGCGACCCCGCGTCAATTGCAATGAATCAATGTTTTTCGTTTTTTCAGTTTACTGTGTTTTCTTTTGCCTCATATTGATTCTTGCATGACGAAATAAAATATCTGAATCTGAATCTGAATCTGAAACGGGATTTGGGATGTGTATGTTGTCTCAAACCGCACAATTTGTGGAACTGCCCGGACTTCAAGAGTAAATCGCATGAAGAAAAGGTCAGTCTTTTGAAGGAGAAGAAATTGTGTTTCAAGTGTCTGTCTCCTGGTCATCTGGCTCGTAATTGCAAGAAGGCCAGTCAGTGCAAAGTACATGGCTGTAAAGGAAATCGACATCACACACTGCTTCATAGATTTATTGAAATTCAGGAGAAATCGAAAAACCCTGAAGAGGGACCAGCTGTATATTCATTGGCAAAGTCGTCAAAGTGCATTGGGAAAAGTATCGGGCAAGATGTTTATTTATGTGTGGTGCCGGTCAATGTTTGAAATGGTGAAAAGACCGCTCAAAAATACGCCTTGCTGGATCCGGCATCTACAGTTACTCTGTGTAGTGAACGTTTGATGAAATATCTCAAAGTAACAGGAAATACAAGAGATATTACATTACGCACAATTGGACAGAGGCCAATACAATACAAGGGTATATCTAACAGTTTAGTTGTATCGCCGCTAGATGGTGGTGCTGAACATGAAATCACAGATTTGCTCTCGGTTGAAAAAATTCCTGCTAAGCCGAATAAAGCGCCCGACCAAAGGTTGCTCAAAATCATTCCGCATCTTCAAGATGTAAGATTGCCTATCCCGGAAGGAGGAACAGTGAATCTTCTGATTGGTGCTGACAATGCGGAACTCGTCTGTTTCCAAGATGTTCGAAATGGACCGAGGAAAGCACCTAAGGCAGTGAAGACTTTTCTTGGCTGGTCGCTGTTCGGACCCAGTTTTGAGTCGCCATCAGGTATCAGAGAAGTTCATTTTGCATCTGATCATTATGTCAATTTTGTGAAGTGTAATGATTTGGAAACACAAAAGGAAATTGAAACTTTGTGGACAACAGATTTTGGCAATGAAACTTCAGTGCTTGATATTCCAAATTCTCGAGAAGATCGAGCAGTATATGAAATTATGCAAAATTCGGTGAAACATATTGGTGGTCATTTTCAACTTTCTTTGCCATGGAGAACCGGGATGCAGAATCTACCGGATAACAAAGAGATGGCAAAGAAAAGACTTCGTAGCCTCAAAAATAGACTGATGAGAGATTCCGATTTGCATAAAAGGTATGTTGAAGTTATTCAAGGATATATCAAGGCAGGATATGCCAAAAGAATTCCATATGTCGAAATTGATACGTCTAATACAGTTTGGTATCTTCCTTATTTTTCTGTCATGAACCAGCATAAGCCTGGAAAAGTTCGTGTAGTTTTTGATGCTGCAGCTAAATATGGAAATGTGTCTCTGAATGATTGCTTAATGTCCGGACCAGATTTGGCATCTTCACTCCTGGGTGTAATTTTGAGATTTCGCAGAGGACGAATTGCATTGGTTGCCGATGTGGAAGCAATGTTCCACCAGGTTAGAATGGCACCTCAGGACACGGATGCACTAAGGTTTTTATGGTGGGATGACGGGACATCTCAAAGGAACCCGTTCCACACCGTATGCAAGTTCATATATTTGGGGCTGCATCGAGTCCGTCTTGTGCTGCATTTTGTTTGAAACAGACGGCGGTGAAATTTGGAAACGAACACAAACCTAGAATTCCAGAAATTGTTAATAAAGATTTCTATGTCGATGACTGCTTGACAACTGCTGAATCGTTCGATGAAGGCATAGAGATTGTCAAGGAATTGACACAATTGATGTCAAAAGGAGGATTCAACTTGACTAAATAGCTCACCAATAATGATGAATTACTGTCTATGATTCCAGAAGAAAAGAGAGCTAAATGTGTTCAAAATCATGTCATTGATGGCAGTGTCAAAGAACGAGTTCATGGTATTCAGTGGAATGTGGCAAATGGTGAGTTTGGGTTCAAGATTAATATTACTGACAAACCAAATACCAGGAGAGGTATACTTTCAATTGTAGCATCTGTTTTTGCCCCACTTGGTATAGCGGCTCCAATAACGCTACTTGCCAAGTTACTGTTGCAAGAACTTTGCAAGCAAAATTTGGGATGGGATCAGGAAATTGCAGTTGATGATGCTGTTAAATGGCGAAACTGGCTACATCAACTGCAAAGCTCAGAACAGGTGAAGATACAGCGATGCTATCAGCCATTTGATTTTGGAAAAGTTGTTTCCTATGAACTACATCACTTAGCTGATGGATCAGAATTAGCATATGAAGCTGTTTCATATCTACGAATAATCGATAAAAATGGCCAAATTCATGTGGCATTTTTGGTTGGAAAGGCAAGACTTGCTCCATGTTCTCGTGTAACTATACCCAGACTTGAATTAACAGCTGCAGTTTTCGCTGTAAAGTTGAATCTTGTCCTAAGGAAAAAACTGAAGATGAATGAATGCAGTTCAACTTTCTGGACTGATTCCACAGCCGTACTTCAAAGTATAAGAAATTCGAAGAAACGATTCTCCACATTTGTTGCTAATCGTTTAGCAAAAATTGATAGAAATACTGATGTATCACAGTGGCGCCATGTTCCAACGAAGATGAATCAAGCTGATGATGCTTCGCGTGGTCTTAGAGTTGATGCATATTTAAAGTCAGGACGATGGATCAATGGGCTTGAGTTTTTGCGTCTTTCTGAAGACAAGTGGCCAAATATGCCGGACTGTTTTCCTGATCTACCGTCTGAATTTTGTCCAAAGCCGGTTCCAGAAACAAAGTCGGCATTTGTAATAAAGGAAGAGTCTTCTGTCATGGACAAGTTCATAGGATTCTTTTCTACATTCTGCCGTATATCAGCAGGATATATTTGATTAAGAATATGAGTTAAAAAGTGCATTTTTGAGAAAATACGTAATACTTTGTGTCAATTTCGGAAGGTGAAGCATTGACAGATCATTGACATTATTATTCTAAGCCTTTTGTGACTACATTTTACAAATAGGTTTAAATAAATTTCGATTGAATACCAACAATCCAAAATCTATCCCGAATTTGCAATAAAAAATATGATTTCAAAATAGAGTCGTAGATGAATAATATGACGTTTAGCAGTTTGCTGCTTTTTCAATTAATAGGTAAATTTACATAGTATGGACTTCCAGTTTGCTACAAAACATTGCAATTTGGACTAGTTGTACAAATTGAAACTAACGCCGCGTTATTCGAATTTTGAAGTTGTAAATAAGTTCCCAAGTCATCACGTGTTGCTGTACTAACTCTTCTGTTAGCTTCATCAAATAATTTTAATACGTTTCCATCTTGCATTGTATCTCTTTGATAAATAAATAACTTTTTATCCAATGTAGTGTTATTTATGCCAAAATTTGCTATAGATTTGCTGAGAATAAGATTTCCGTTATCTTCCGTTAAAAATTTATAGTTAATTATAGTCAATTATAAATATTTGTCACGCATATATCAATGGGAGATACACGAAAATCAAAAGAAATACATATAATGAACAATATAACGATTCTTGTAAAAATCAAAATCTTGTCCAAAAAATGGCAACAACTGCAGGGATTTTATTCATGCGGTATAAGACTCTGTTCCTATTGCAATACCAATGCTGTGGTATTAACCTTGAAAAAAGATATTTTGATAGAAATATTGTCTAATTTGAATCTCAGACTAATAATGTCATACCACTTTGAGTTATAGGTATAAATTGTGTATCCTGCAATTCGTTTACTCATTTCACCAATCTTTATGTAATGTATTAATATATAATAGAAAATAATGTTTGGACAAATTGTTCATCCGATTTTGATGCATTTGTTGAGTTCAATAGCTCCCAGTATCAGGATATGCATTGGTTTTTCTTTCTTCGTGACAGGAAGCTTAAAATATAGTACATTATTAGTAAGAGCGAATAAGTCACATTATTTTTGTCATGTCGCCTTAAACGTTTTTTCAATTCTTTAGTTTCTTTCTAATTAATAATCTGTCTATTTTTAGGGATAAAAAGTTTAAAACCTACAAATAAAAATTGCACTGTTCACTGTCTTACACATATAACTTTTTTTAACAATTTAGTTCCGATAGAAACACAAACAAGAAAACGTAATTGTAATGCTGATAGCATATTTGATCATTGATGCGTTTTTGATATTCAATGCTGCTAAATTTTTTGACATAGAAAAATAGAAATCTGCATTTCCTCTTTCCAATAATTAAATTTCTGCTTTATTATTTTTGTATTGAACTCTTTACAAACTTCTCAGCTACTTTTTTTTTGTCACCCAATGATGAATTTGGTACCGTTTATATCAATATCTACCGGAAATTATGACAAAATTCAGGTATGATGAATTATATTTGTCTAAATGACAGAAACTATTTCATTGAATATACATGTGAAAATTTACATTTAAATTTTGGATAATCCTCATGCAAGGGCGTAGTTTCGTTCCGCATTTGTCGATAAAAAGTTAAACTATTTCCCACAGAACTTCCTGTTAGATCCATAAATATTTAAATGACTCACATATTTGGCATTTTTCAATAGTCCATAAATTTCGAAAATTCAGGTCAAATTTCAAAATAACTAAGCCAGTTATTTTGACCGTTTATTCAACCGTATCGTATCCACTAGCGCTCGAAGTCGAGTAAAGTATTTTTTTAAACCAGTAAAAAATAATATCACAACTACAAACTACCAGAAAATGATAATTTTACTGGGGAAGGGAAGTCGCGGGGAACCGAAGCTGGTAATCAAGCAGCGACATTCGAATGCATATATCTGGGTATTGGGGCAGCTGTGGTGCATTGGACAGCTCAAATAATTTCTCAGGATGAAAACGTCGTTCAATACCTTAATCTTATACAGGTATAAACTGAATCTATGAAAAAAGAGAGGCCGAGGTAAACACTTCACGCTGGCGCCAGATGATATAAAAGGCTAAAAATATTTTTTTTTTTTTCTGTTTTAATTAAGACATCAATTGTTTTATATGGTTCTAGGAAATCTCGCGCAGGAAATTTCGTGTTTTAACTTAAAAAAAGATTCGATTTAAGAGCATGCCCTAATCATATTAACCTAACTGTTTTTATCACAAATACTTGTTTTAGAGAAAAAATGTTTTTGCTGCAATTTTTCATGCTTTTATAAATACTTGTTTTACAGCTAAATATTTTTGCGGCGAAATTAACTGCGGCGAAATTTTATGCAGCAACTTTTCCGGACTCGGTATACAATATTCCAAATTATATTAAATTATTCAAACAAAAACTACTTTTGTTATACAATATATATATATTTTTTTTATAGAATAGCGTATTTGTATATAGTATATTGAAAAAATTGCACTTTGCCATACAAATATATGAATAAAAATTTATAAAATTTCGAGGTATAAAATTATTAAAATAATATAAATAGAACTATGAATTTTGCATTACATGAGAAGAAGAAAAAATACGAATAGTATCTAAGTATAAAGTATATATAGATTTGCTGCTTTTTCAATAAATGAGTAAATTTAG